GTAAAAAATGTAAAAAGAAAAAGGCAAGAGCTGCTCTAGCCAGGCTGGGATAGTTGCTGCTAGAGTCACCATGTGGATGACTGTGCTTAACTGTTTAAAAAAAGCCTCTAAAAAAAGTGCACTCTACAGGAGGAGGCCTCCTCCTAACCATGTGCCTCCTTTGCATAAGGACTTTTTCGCCTTTTAACCCTTGCTTAACTCTGCTCAAGTGATCATAAAGATAGACTAAAGGAGGCACGTGGTTCTCTCACCTCCACCTGCAGTTAAGCACTAAGCAGATCATCCACTGTGACTCTGGCAGCAACTACCTCAGCCTTTTTCCTTTTAATTTTTTTTCTTTTCAGGATGACAGTGGCGAGGCCCTGCCTCCCCTGCCTGCACATCCCTGATCCACACATACATGCACATACGAACATAAGAAGATGTAAAAGTGACACAAGATTTCTTCAACTCTCCTTCAAGTTCATCTGAAGAAACCAAATTATTCAACAGACATAGAGTACTAAATATTGTGCAAAAAAATAGAGAAAAGATTTCAACTGTAATCACAAAGAGAGTACATAGGTATATGTAAACCAGAACCAAGCTCTATAAACTTGCCTTCCTCAGAAATATCATAGGAATCTCAAAGAGCTCAGTGTTTCTGGAATTCCAGATTCCAGAAATCTTGGCGGAGGGAAGAAAATTGAGCAAGTCTGAGCAAGAAAGAAAGCCATCAGATGGCAGAGAGCTATTTGTTTTCCACACAAGGCTGACAGTGGAACCAAGAAAGTTCATAATAAATACTGCAAACAAGGGATCAAAACAGAGGGTGTTGCCACATCCTGGGTGAGTTGCCCCCACCCGTCAAGGACCTGAAGGGAATTAGTCTCTTCCTGTTTTTTGGCAACACCTGTCTAGCTTGTCCTGCCAATACAGAGAATTTAATGGAATGTTGCTTGGGAAGTTCTTGATAGGGCTTGAAGTACAGGAAATATCCTAAATTATGATCCGTCCCATTCTTCCTCTGGGCCACGGGGAATATGCATCTAGACATCTCACTTGGGTATACGGTGTTTAACATCTACAAAACATTTATATTTTTTCCATCTTCCTTTTTTTTACAAAGCTTAAATAGCTAACAACCTCTGATCATTCCTTTGAGCAACTAATAATATAGCTATGCAGCTCATGTAGGTCATTTAACAGCCAAAGATGTGAAGTGCTTTGCATGTGATTGAATTAAAAGTAGTCCACATTCCCCTTAAAAGAAAGTTAATGTAATACAGAAGCAATTTATTTTTCAAATATACACAAGAATGTTCTTGAAATTTAAATCAAGATAGTCAATTGAAATCAAGGTATGTCAGACCACATTTCCTTTGATATCTATTTATATCTAAAAATATAATTACTGCTTTTTTCCCTATGTCCTATTTTAAAAGAGTAAAGATAGATGCTGTTCCCAGCATCTTATAACAAGAGGAAGAAGAGAATAGAATGGCATTTAAGGAAAAAATATTAGAGAAGTCACAGAAAAAAATATATTTAGATTGATCATAAAAATGTTGTAATAGATGCTGAGAACATGAATGTGTGTATGTGTTGGAGTCATGCCCTCCGTAAGTTTCCTAGAGGCATCTTATCTTGGTTGGATTAGCTGCGCTTTTGGTTCAATTCAGAAATGTTCTTAGTATACTTGCACGTACCTCCTGGTTGATGGAATATTCTACATGTAAAATATCTCTCCACAGCCTAGCCTGCATAGTATAACAGGAGAAAGCCTATGTTATGTAGCATGTGATGTAAGTATAAATATGGCTAATATCATGCAATTTTTCTATCTCATTGAAAATGTTACTATATGTGAAAAGCTACTGTATGTGATCAAAGATGAGCCCATTGAAAATGATTGTAGCTTAGACTGTAAGTGAAATAAGTGGTACAGAGGAAGGAAGGAAGGGAGGGAGGGAGGGAGGGAGG